CATACACCATCACTCCATCGTTTTGATTATGGTTACCAAAATTATACAATGTATCGTACCCTTCTAAATGAAACAGAGTTACATCGCCCACTTGCCATGTTTCGGATAGAATGATTATATCTATATCACTTTGTATTCTTTTCAAAATTAATTTAAAGTAGTCAAAGTTATGTTTTCTACTTCTGATGTTCATGTGATAAATTCTAACAGATATTTCAGGATTTTGTAAAAAAGAATCTAGCTCGCTAGTATCATGAGCAGTATTAGTACTAATATGTTGAATTTGGAAGTTATTTACATAGTCGTGTGTCATAAATGATGCAATATTCTAAAATTTTGGCTAAAATTTCTTCTTTCTTAAAAAAGGATTTTCAAGTTGTACTGCTGTTGATAATATAGAAAAGTTGGACATTTTTTATCTAATGGTGAGTGGTTGGTACTATAATTTTTGTTATATCTATAGTTTGAAAATTTGCAATTGAAGGGTACGGTGCAAAAACCGGTCAACTCCATTTTTTCAGAAATTCACTTTTTATATGCATCATATAGGACAAATGTTTGCACATCTTTTGGTGCATCAGCCAAAAAAAATATATTTGGTTATCAGTTTGGTAGTAAGTTATTTTTCAATACCATCGCATAATTGGTATTTTTTCCGATAGAAAATTCCTACAACTAACAATATTGAAAAGTTTTTATTGATTTTCCAGAAATTATACAACATGAAGTTGACCGGTTTTTGCACCGAGCCCTTCAATTACAACATACAACCGGTTCATGCTTACAACAGTCAGTATCGTGTACATCCTCTTTGCTGCAGTTGGTACAGGTCTTGTTATTGCGGCATTTTTTCTCGGTGTGATTGAAGCGAAGACACTTCTTGCATTGCGTTATTTCGTTATTATCATACACTGGTAAGCATCGCCATCCAAGAAGAATTTTTCCATTGTTATCTTCAAATATTGCCCTGAATAATTTGCCAGAAATGTCTGCAAATAATGTGTAACATTTTTTCGATGGGAGATACTTTACATATTTGATTTTGATGTCATCTTTTTCAATAAAATGATTTTGTTGGATAAGATCTAATTCTATGTCTTCTTCATGTGGTTTCTCCGTGCATCTATAATTGACAATTTTGATCTTCGGTCTAAACATTGTAGGTTCTGTGATTTTGTATTCATCTCCTAATTTCTTTTCGAATGCAGTTTTGAGTGTGTTGTGGTGTTCCTCAGCCAGTTTAATTATAATTCCTCCATTTTTAGAATTTCGTATATTTTCTATTTGTATTTTCAAATCCGCAAGGCTAATTTTTTTGTTAAGGTCTTTTCTCGTTTGTTCAGATGTTTGGATACCATTTGGTGTGACAATTATGTTCTTCATTGGGTCTTTCTTGATTGTTGGAGTATCTCGCTTTAGTACTTGGGCATATGATTTCTCTTTAATTTTCTCAATTTCAGTCAATCTTTGATTTATTTTATTTATCACTGTTTCAACGGTACCTTTTTCGTGTATGGCTGATGTCGCTAAATTGTATTGTTCTTGTAGTCTTCCATTTTCATTGCTCAACTGTAGTATTAGTTTATCCTTTTCTTCTAATATCTGTTTTAAGTGTTTATTTTCTTCTAGAATCTTCTCAGTGTCCAAGTTTCCATCAATGTAAACTTCCATTGTATCTGATTTTTCCGTTGAGATCTGGTTTTTAACTTTTTTCTTCGGCATCATGCATATATATCAACTCAGCAGCAGCAACACTCAGTATAGCGTGAAGCCACAGTTGAAATATTACTTTTATTGGTCCTGAAGTTGACACAGCTTGACAGTTTCCTTTGGTAGTAAATTTAAAATGGCTGAAAATGGTGCAGATTGTGCTGTTCGTCTCACCAATATTTCCAGGGATGTGTCACTGTCTTATATACGTTTGCCGCCCAGCGATATTAATTAAAATGATCTAGTTTTTTGAAACTTCTCGTGATAAAGGTGAGTTCTTTAACTAGTATTTTTAGTAGACTTAGTTATAATTTATATTATATTATTTAATGAGTTAAATATTTATTGCATTCCCTTTGGGGACAGGTATTATCAAGCCTGTAATCATTTTCTCATTCTTTGTCAATGTGAAAGTTGCTTGTTGGATCGCAAATCTCTCAACCGGAGTATAATTATAATCCAATTCTATGTATTACTACAAAAACTGCAATATTTAGATATATAGATTCTGAAATCCCTTGACTATCATGTAGCCTTTTGATGCAAATAGTTTTTACGGATGTATCTTTCGAAATACTTTCATTTGCAAAGTGCTTCGCTGGTTGCCCCAACTGTTATTCTGTCGAAAATACTCCACGTTACAAAGGCTTTAGTAAGTTTGTTACACAGATACTTTTACCTGATTACATCTAGCGTTTACATCCTGATATAAATCACTCCCGTTTCTTTCAGACGGCAGTACTATCACAAAAAATTACTATGTTTTCATGCTTTTGAATTTCTCTTCACGCGCTATCACGTGAGAAAGTACTCGTAAAACGTAAAAAGCACGTCATTCGATCTGCTGATTTATGCCCTAGGGGCCGTTCAAGTATTACGTGAGCACTATGAGGGGGCGGGGGGGTCTTTGCTTTGCTTATTTTGGATGACATGGGGGGTAGGGGAGTCTAGATGATGATTACGTCATCGGTAGTTATGTACTTTTTTACACGAATGGCAACCCTCACATTGTCTGTGCTTGAAAACGAAACGCAAATAATGCATACGTTTAGTGAACAGCGCGCGGTAATTCCCCTACTCGCTTTAGAACCGAGTAGGGGAATTACCGCGCGGTGTTGACTTGTCTAAATTTCCTCTATCAGTGTATTGTTTCGTTTGGATACTATAGCGAGTAGACGTATTGTAAGCATAGTAAAGCAAGTTAACATTTGTGTTACCATTGATTCCATTAGCCAAAGTTTAATGTTTAAATAAGATGTCGTTTCACATAGACAAATCCAAGTTATACCAAAAATTGTTTGAAAGTTTTAAAACATCTCATACAAGTACGAAAGTACAAAATGTACAAAAGTTAGTTAACGAAATGTGGCGAAATTACAAATTACAAGCAAAATCCGACAAGGAACCAGATAATATTGTATCTAAGAGAATCGAAGAAGAATTGCAAGCGGCGACTAAGAATAGATCCAATCTACTAATTTTTTTTTCTACGGTGAGTGACGAAATCATTTTAGGTACCTATGAGTACTTGAAACATCAGAAATAGCCAAAAAGTTTCTCTTTACTGATTAGAAAATATTATGGCGTATCTCAAAGTATAGAGGTAATATTCATTATACATATTATAGATTTATTTCTTATGATTGATTCCGTCAATTGGTCACAAAGTACAGGATGTTAGTTTTATACATATATACAGAAAACTAACACCCTGTATTTTGTGACCATATTAGATTTAAAGCCATAGGGTTTTGTATTTACCATATATATTGCCATACTTTGTATTTATGTAGCTTAATAAGAGAATATTTAGGAGAATCCATAGAAAGTTTTTATTTTTAGGCAACCTGTAAACCTGCAGAAAAAACACAAATTATACAGTCAGCTTCAAATATTAAAAAAGATGAAGAAGATAAAATAAAACCCGGTAATGAATCACAACAGCAATGCGAAATTAATGAAAATACAGATAAACAGAGAGCAAAACCTTCTCAGGAAGCTATGAAAAATAAGATTGCTCGACTCGAAAAAATCTGAATGCTTTGTATTCTGCCAGAGATACTATGCCAAGCCGTGCTGAAGTTGATAAACAGATCATTAAGTTGCGCGAGGAAATAAAAACAGCAAAACAGTCTTTAAACAGGAAGGTTCAAAACGCAGTTGCCCAGAAGAAACACAGGGATGGTATGAAAAGAAAGTTAGAAGATATTTGTCATGAAAATCCAGAAATAAAAAAAAGACTATCTCTGAGGGATTCAGTGGGACGTCCTAATCTTGAAAGCAATCAACATTCACTATTGAAAACAATCGCAGATATAGCTTTATTTAATCAATTCGTAGCGTAAAAACTCTTGATGAACTCACACAAGAATTACGTAAAATAGGATTTGACATTAGTCGCAGTGGGACATATCTTGGTTTGATTCCCAGAAAATCTAATTCTGCAGAGGGACCAAGACATGTTCTACAGTCCCCGTTAAGCTCATTCGGGCTCAAACTGATCACCACAAGAGCCACTTAGACAGCAAGTTCGCTGAAACATCAATCCATTATTTAGAGAACATAGCATCCATACTTGGACCAGATCAAGTATTTTTCATATCTCAAGATGATAAAGCTCGATCCCCTATTGGCGAAACTGCGGCAAATAAGCAAGCACCTCTTCTAATGCACATGGAATATAGAATCAAATTGCCTGATCACGATTGGGTAATCGCTGAGCGTCATAAATTAATACCATCTGTTTATGCTAGTATCAAAATCACTTCCAATATGCTAGGACAACCGCAAGCCGTGGGATATTCTGGACCAACATACATCGCTATTCGAAGTGGAAAGCATAGTTCATCTACTGCTAATACTCATGCTCAGGATTTCGAGACGTTTCTCGAACTTAAAGAGTTTCGACCATTAGCTAAAAATTTACCATGGACTAGTAAAACCAGTGGTAGTCATGACGGTTGATGGAGAGCCAGATGAAAATCCACGTTATCAAAAAGTCATAGGGTTTGCTATACAACACTTTAAGCGACATGATCTCGATGCATTGTTTTTAGCTACCAATGCTCCTGGAAGAAGTGCGTATAACAGAGTAGAGCGCAGACTGGCTCCTCTTAGTCGGGAACTGGCTAGTTTAATATTGCCTCATGACCATTTTGGGTCTCATTTGGATGAACGTGGCGTTACAATTGATGAACATTTAGAGAGATCTAATTTCGAATTTGCAGGAAATGTATTGGCTGAAGTATGGAGTTCACTGGAAATTGATGGCTATAATGTTAATGCAAAATATGTTGGGGCAGGTGAACAAGATCTTCCTGATTTTCCAGACATTAAATGGTATTCAGAACAGGTGCGTGAGAGCCAATACTTGCTTCAAATTGTAAAATGTAGAAATACAGAATGCTGTCGTCCAAGAAGTAGCCTATTTAGATTACTAGACAATAGGTTTCTTCCACCTCCTGTAAAAGTAAAACAAACAGTTGATGACTTGGTTTTGGATGGAGGAGGGCAATTTGTTAATCTTCCAGTCAATTTAGCTCTACGCTTAAGTGCTTCACTCAAAGATTTCCTGCAAATGCCTTACGATTATTTTTGTCCGACGGTAAAATTGAGGCTATCAAGTCGAACATGCAAAACGTGTGGTCTTTATCATGCTTCCGTCAAGTCACTAAATCGTCACATCGAAAATATCCATAAAAAAGTAAACACGCACACTGATAGGAAAGTTAGACCTGTAAGAGTCGCTGTTCGTCGTGCTAATAAACTGATGTGCATTATTCAAAATTTAGAGCACCATGATGTTGAATGGCTCGATGAGAACGACGTAGACACTCCAAAATCCGATGAAAGCAATGTCATCGAAAACTTAGAATCATGGATTCGGGTTTCATGGACTGAAGACTGTTAATTTGAATTTAATATACAGGGTGACTTCGAAGTTGAGTCATTTATTTTAACAGTGAGTAGATCTGATCAAAAGAAATGTTTTTTCCTTTAACATTTTTCTGGTAAAATTAAAGTAACAAAGTTATAGCCCTTTAGAAGTTTGAGTACCGCCCTGTCAAAATAGTACATAATATTATGTGCTCGTGTTTGGCAACAACGGATATATCGGTTCATCGCATCGGAAACAAAAAAGCGAAAGAATTTGAAACGTTAATCACGATGTTTTTCGTCATTCGGTAACGCGTGAGTGAATAGTGGTGTTTGTTGTGTGGCTCAAACGAAATAAAGAATGGCACATGTTTACGAAAATGCTGAACTTGTGGACATGATTCTTATTTACTGGGGGGGAGTCTTTTCAAAATGCTGCCGCGGCATCACGGATTTGTGCGAATCGGTTTCCCAATCGAGTGCAACCAACCCCTCGTGCCTTTGTTAATGTAGTACAAAGGGCTCGTGAATCAGGTGACTTAAGACCTCACAGGGGAGGGCATGTCGGTGCTCCAAGACATGGTCCGCACTGAAATAATTGTCGGGAGGATACTTTATAAAACAAGCTAACATTTTTTTTTGATTTTTTTTATTTTTACACACATATGTTGCTTTATCTTCCTTCTACAATCATTATCTGAAAATTAATGACTCAACTTCAAAGTCACCCTGTATGTACCAAAAATTTAAAATAAGTTTATTATGTTAGTAAGATATAATATTTTTGTCCTTCACTCGATACGGTATTATCAGTGAAATATAATCTCTATCCTAAATATATTTTCTTATTTTTCAAATTATAATTATAACGTTATGATTATAATATTAAAAAAAACAATACATTGATTGACAAATGTTTACGTAAGCATGGGGGGACGGGGTAAGAGCTTTGCTTACTTTTGCTGGCAAGGGGGATGGGGGGGTAAATAATTGTAATAAATCTGCTTACGTAATACTTGAACGGCCCCCTATAAAAAATTATATATTACAAATTTATAACCATTCCGACTGGATTATCGAGGCTCGCGCCGCCGGTGACTCATTGTTGACTATCCTCTGACTGAATACCTATAACATAGGTCCTATGTGAATCGATGGTTCCCGGTGTACTCCCGCGTTTTCTAGATAGAGCACGTATTACCTTATTGTATGGGCCTTTATGAGTACTTTTATAACCTTGGAATCGAAACTCTGAATATAAAATCGGTATCTTCTAAAATGACGAACTGGCAGGCTGTCAAAGTTGGGCGATTTTTTACATTGAACAGCTTAAAACTCAAAAACTAATCATCAGAACGAAATAATATACTGTCTGAGTGTTGAGGAAAATATGAAACATTCCCTTTTGAAAAAATTCTCAGATTTAGATAGACATCTTTTTCTAAATTCTACATTAGAATCAAATCATCCAAGATAAGAAATTTTGTATAACATATAATAGTATATCATTTTGTTGATTGCTTTTTGAGATATGAACGAATAAATACACAAAAACACTCTATCTTGACAGTCTGCCAGTAGGCCGTTTTAAAAGCTGGCGATTTTGTATTTGAAGGCTCTAAAATACTTCAAAATTGGGCGAATTTTCCGTTATTATCATATTCAGCTGCTTCCGTTATTGTGTCCCGAAGCCCAGCTAAGGTTTCCATTGGCTTTGGGTAAACTTTTCTTTTCAGGGCTCCCCAGTAAAAAGAATCGAGTGGATTTAAGTCAGGTGGACAAGCTGGCGATGAAATTGTATCCGACCACTCTATTCATCTGCTTAGGTATTCTGCATCAAGATATTCTCTAACTGGTATTACGTATTTTGAAAAGTGACATTATGTCGATTTTTTTGACATTATATTGGTTTTGTGTGACATTATGTAGGTTTTTCTACAAGATGTTAACTTAGCACTAGCTGATGGACACGTTGTGAACTCGCTTTGCAGTTGTACGTGTTGCCTAAACGTCATGAGGCTTCAGTTATCAATGTTTGGCTCTGATGTGATGTAAAATCTGCTTCAGAGATTTCATTACTGGAGTTAACGGCAATACATAGGTGCATAGTGAGGATTTCTATGCTAATAATATATGTTTGATGATAATTCCGTTCGATTCGTGTCTCAAATACACTTACCTGAAACTCAAAGCTAGAAATTAGTTGCGCATCCAGTTTTTTTATCCATCCTGGGAATTGCATATGCAAATTTGCTGAATTTCAAAAATGAGATAGATAAGAAATAATTATATTCACTGTGCACTGTCGAATTACAAGTCATATACCTGCTAACAGTAATCACACACAACGCGGGCGCCGTAATTCTTCTCAAAGTTTTTGAAAACAAGAAAACGTAAAAAATCGTAATTGATAACTTTGAACATAACCTGTCTTCTGGCAGGACAACATATAAATAACCCGTCGGGCACAGCTAATAGATACACTTCAATGGCAGCAGATTTAGTGATGATTTTCTCACTCAGCAAGTATCACTGATTTTATACACATGCAGACGAATACATACAATTATCCAGATGCGATCTTGCCATTCAACCAATTAACCAACTTTCTCATTCTCAGACACTCAGAGATGAAAACTGTAGACCACTCGCCTTTTCTCATCTCCCATGAATTCTATGTCAATTCAGTAGTGTAAAGCATCTCATGACAATGTACATCTACAATGTATTATGTGGAGCTGCATATTAACCTACCTCTCACCCTAAGATAATCATCAATGACAACAGCACTGATCATGAAGACATTTCCTACGCTGCCTACCGCCGACAGAGATGCTAGTAGGATGAATCTGGCCAATCTGGACCAATGGTCGTTTAGTGTCACCGGTGATACAGATTCCACGGTGGACAGTACATCACCGGTCATGTTACCGGCAAATGGGACTACCATCCCACTGCAATCTGTAAAAGAGGAACAAGAATCATTCAAAATGTTTTTAGGCATAGCACATGATAAATACACAATGTGTCTGTCAAAAAATGCAGAAATCAGATTGGAGTTCAATTGGAGCTGGAGAGTTAGAGGGATGATACAGTCCTCTTAAAAGGTCCAATGTCGATACTGAGCTGATTTTGATTCTGACGATATAGAAGTGTCGCAGACATCAATAAACCACGATATTCTAAAATTGTATTAAGTCTCGATTAACCACAACCTGTCAATAAATTCTAGTAAAACCAGCCTGTTATTTTTTTGTTCAGTTCGTAAAAGAGAAGAAATTAAAAGTAAAAACAGAGAAAAGTTTATTCCTCCATTTGATATAGTTCCACTGTCAGTCAAGAAAAAAACAAGCACACGAGGCATAAAGTCTGGAAAATTTAAAATTATATCATCGCCATATAAGCAAGAACTGGTGAAATCATGTGAAAAACAGGCAAAGGCTGTAGAAAAAGGGAATGGATGTTTTTTCCACTCATAAGCAACCAAATAAAAAGATAACGAAACAAGAAAAAAAAAGATATGTGACTTCTGAGATTAACTCAGACCCAGATGAAGACTTTTTACCAGCTGATGAAGATAACGGTTTACATTCCCGAAGACAAAAATGCAGAGTGCATCTTCTGTCAGGGTGAATTTTTTAATTATGTTAGAGGGGAGCCGTGGATTTAATGTTTGTTATGCCAATTATGGGCTCACGGGCGTATCTGGTGCAGAAAAAGATGTTTACGCTTGCGACTTCTGCAAATAAATATATTTATTATTAATATATGTTAATATAATTAAGATTATTCATGTATATTTTGTTCTTACCTATTTTTCACTATACGAATGATGACAAATTTAAATAAATATATTTTTGATATTTAATAACTAGTTTCCTAGAGGACTGATATTGTACGCAGTCTGGTTGATATAGGTGAAACTACCCTTTTGCATTATTCATAATTAATGCTATCTACTGGGTGTTAGGGAAATAATATTCGTACCTTCTAGAGGTGATTCCTTACATTATTCCCAGCAAAAAAGTTCATTATAAACTACGTCCAAAAATCAACCGTTTCGGAGCAAAAAAAAATGATGAACTTATTTCTTTTTAGTCATGAAATAAATTAATTTTGCACCTTATTAATTTAAATTCGTATGCCTAATAGCGCAAAATGTATCTATTTATTAATTAACTGTCTCTAGCAAAATAATTTTCTTGCTTAATAAATACAATTTTCCGAAGAAAACGAGACAAACAAAATCCCTCACACAACTGGCAACGTCGTACTCCGCCTGCACTGCCTGTATCATCACGTGTTGCTGTGATTACTAATACATTTAACTGTAAACTTATGTGATTTACTGATGTTGGTTTTTTTCTTTTTTCGTGCATCGCATCGTTTCAAATAAGTGACTGATAATCGTGGGAATTGGTGGTATGTATCGCCACTTACCGGTGTGTTCCATCATTTTTTTAAGTGAATTTACTGTACTTGAAAGCGTTATTAAATAACAAATATTAGCCACAAAAAAATGCGTAAAAGTATTCAATAGTTCAAGGCATATTTTCAACAAAAATATCATACAAACGTAAACAAATCGATAAATCAGTTGCGATCGACGTGCGCTCGTATCGCGGTTGCGTTGCAACGTTGCCAAATATTTGAGAAAATTTAATTATACACTTTCCTCGAAAACAATTGATTTTCGGACAAAGAAGCATCAAGAGCGGCAGTCCCTTCAAGCAGAAGTGTGATTCGTACACCCTACCAAGATTTGAAAGGACTAATAAAAGTGCACATAACCAGTCTTTGGCAACAGAAATGGAATGGCAGTTACGGCAAGCTACTCTCAACTGCTCCAGATGTCAACACGCGATTCACCCTACCTTCAGGAAGAAGGAACCAGATAATTATGTCACGTCTCCGGATAGGCCACACACTAGTGACTCACAAGCACGTCTTCGAAGGAATCGATGCTCCAGTTTGTTCAACGTGCAACCAGCGGCTCACGGTAGTTCACTTATCAAAATGCCAGAAGTCTCAACCACCTTTCTAATGACATCAGTGAAGTGTTACTGCATCAAACCGACAAACTTGTGAAATTTATCAAAGACATTGACATGTACTTCAATACATAGATTATTATGCCGTCCACGCCGCTAATAACCCTACGAGGTTGATGCGGTACTATCTGTTGAATAAAAAAAAAATGATTTTCGGACATAAGTTATAATGAACTTTTTTGCTTAGAATAATGCAATTAATCACCTCTTAAAGTTACTAATATTATTTCCCTAACACCCTGTATAATATCTGTTCAAAAATAATAACTTAGTTTATGTTATTATGAGATCAGTGAACATTACTATCAAAAAAGGCACAAATTGGTGGATCACAGAAAAAATTATTTGTTGAAATATAAATGGGGTTCCATATTTGGACCAACTGGCTAATATCGCTGTTAACAGACGGCATATTATTCATATTTCCCTGCCCCGCAGCCTGATATCCAATCTCTTCAGTCTCCTTGAAATAATTGCGTCCCAGTACTCAAATCGAGCAAGTCAAATTGCCCTTACGTCCTTCTCAGAGGACAGAGTGCTGTTATCGACATGGCACGCTATTATAATAAGGCACCAATTACTAACAACTAGTGAACTAGCACACATCTGATCTGATAAGAGTGAATTATATGGAAGGGGGTAATAAACACCGGTTCGGGGCGGCTGGTAACGAGTTTACCGGAACAATGCGGAGATGGTCTTTGAACATGAGGGTGCTTTGGATAATGAGGATTTAAGGCATTTGCTGTGCCCAACATAACTAAATCTATCCTTCGTCTAGTGCAGGGTTTTTCAAGCGGTGGTTCGCGAACCCTTAGGCCCTAGGGATTCGCGAGCTATATATGAAGGGGGCTCGCGGAAAAATTATGGTAATGGTGGAATTTGACCTCAATATTGCAACACCGACGCTACAACATTCCGGCAAGAGTTCTACTTCGGCGAAACGAGCGCACCGAGACTTTTCTAACAATGCACTGGAAGGAACGAGAATAACGTCTGCAGCCACGGAAGTACGAGTACAGTCGAACGCGCCCCGTGAGCCGTACGCATGTCGAACGTGAAATTAAATAAATATAATAATATTCTGTAAATTTAAGATGGACAGTTGGTTAGAAACGATCAGTTTTGTGAACTCTGACGAAAAGCCAGATGAGCAATCCACTACTGCTTCTTCTTCTGTTCCCGATATGGGTCCAGCACAGGGTGGCGATATTGAAAGTTATAGTGAGGTACCTTCTCGCCAGAATAAAAGTAATGAGAAAATAGACAAGCATGGTGGAAGACATGGAAAGAAACGATAATACGGCGCTGACTATTTGCAAATGTGTAATTTGTCATGAAGTCCCAGCCAAAAGTAGTATAAAACCATCGCTTCTTCGTCGGCACCTTGAGAAAAGACATCCGGATTACAAGGATAAACCTATTCAATATTTTAAAAGAAAATTGGAAGGTAATAAGCATTGCAGTGTTTCTTCTTTCCAGTCGACTTTCAACGCAGATAGTAAAATGGCTCTTGAAGCATCATTTCGAGTTAGTTACAGAATCGCAAGTTCTGGAAAAGCTCATACAGTGGCAGAAAATTTGATGTCACGGAGAATTCACGATTTGGCGAACAGTGTTGAAAGTGTACTTTTGAAAAGAATAAAATTGAATTATTCTGCTTTTCAGCTTGACTAGTCGACTGATGTAGCAAACTGTGCAATTATAGGATAGATGTATTTTTAAGAATTCAATTTCAATAAGATGTGTTATTTGCAAAACCACTGGAAACTTATACGACTGGTGCAGCAATTTTCAATATGAACAATGACTATTTTGAAAAACATGAAGTCAACTTGTCGTTTTGCTCAGGTGTATGCACTGACGGTGCAAAATCAATGACTGGAACATGTTCTGGTCTTGTGGCACGAATAAAGAAGATCAACGAAAATATAGAATCGATTCACTGCTGTATTCATAGGCAAGCATTGGCATGTAAGCGTATTCCTGCAGAGTTAGCCAGTACTTTAAGCGAAGCTGTAAAAGTTGTGAATTTTATAAGGTCCCGTGCTACAAATTCTCGTCTATTCCGTAAACTTTGTGAGGACTTGCGAAGTCTCCACGTCTCTTTATTACTTCATACAGAAGTTATGTGGCTTTCTCGTGGCAAAGTTTTGCCCCGCTCGTTTGAATCCAAGTCTGAAGTTCAGGCATTTTTTCTTGACCATCCATTACATTTATCCGCTTATGTATCCAACATTCTGTGGCTCCAAAAACTTGCATACTTAGCCAATATAGTCTCTAAATTAAATGAACTAAATATATCTTCACAAGGTCCAGGTCACCATGTTCAATGTTCATGATAGAATAGAAGCCATGCTAAAGAAGTTCAACTTCTGGAGTCAATGTCTGCAGACGAATGAGTACGATTGTTTTGATTCTCTCAGCAGTTTTTTAACAGAAAATAAAATTCAAATTAACGAAAGCATTAAAAGAGATATACTAAGTGACATATAAATCCGAACACCCAGTTTAAATGGTTTTCTTTTAATAAAATTTTGTATACTTAATGAAGCATAATAAGTAAATGATAAAAATTTCAAAATGATTGCACTGCTTTAAAGCCCTTTGACCTTTAATAATGTGTGGATGCACCCTGATGTGCTACGCATTCTCCAACGGGCCTAGGCATGCTTCTGATCAGGTGGTCAATGTCCTCCTGTGGTATCTCATTCCAGGCAACCACCAACTCCTCTCGAAGTGCTTCTAGAGTCTGAGGAGGACGTTGCAAATTGAGCAATCTCCTACCCATCATATCCCTCACGTGCTCAATTGGGGATAAGTCGGGAGATCTTGGTGGCCATGGTAACAATGTGACATCATTATGTTGAAAGAAGTCTATTGTGACTCTTGCAACATGTGGTCGGGCATTATCTTGTTGGAAAGTTGGATCTGCCAGGGTGTCAAGATAGGGTAAAAGATGGGGTTCTAGAATTTCGTGGATATAACGCTGCGCGTTCATGTTACCTCTGATGAAGATTAAAGGTGACCTGGAACCATAAGCTATAACACCCCGAACCATAACTCCAACAGTGTGATGAACATGTTTTTCAACAAAAAACTGTGGATTCCTCCTTTCACCACGTCGCCTTCTAACCCTGGCACGACCATCGTGCATGC